GATGCGTGTACAGAAATCAGCTTCTGTTTCTCCTTTTTGTTGATGATCTGCGGTGGGCAAAGAAGTTGATCAGCACAAATGGACATCCTAAAGACTGAGTCAGCTGCCGCATACCTTGCAGTTGTTGCCGCTGGCCAAAGATTTGTCCAGAACTGCGGGCAAGGGCGTCAATTTGCGTGCAGGAGTGAGGCAAATTGGCAATCCGACCGTTGTTGCAGCCTGCAGTCCAAGTCCTGGCGATGTCAGCCAGTTGCTTCCGCAAGTGTTTGCAAGAGGGGCCTGACAAGCCACGGGACTAGCAACCATGAGGTTGGTGGTGCTGCCCGCCACCTTGACAGGAGCTGGCACCCTGGCATCTGCCGTACTGCAAGAGTGTGCGGCTTCGTCAAGGATGCCGCCAAGCATGCCAAGCTCCTGAGGCAGGTCCTTGGTTGGGCTGGTGTGGGTGGTGCGCAAGACTTGAGCGACCTTTTTGAAGTTGGGACTGCCAGCCAGCTTGACTGGAGTGGGAGTTTTGTCCTGCTGGAAGTCACTTTGAGCAAGCAGTACCAGCAAAATGCATGCTGGAAGCGACTTTTGAGAGATGCATGGTGGAAGCGTCTTGATGGGCTCAGCAACCTTGGTAGGCTTGGCAACATTGACGGGCTTGACAATCTTGGTGGGCTTCTTTACCACTTTTGGCTGCAGGAGGCAACAAAGTTCGACAAGAAAATGGTATCAGTCACACAACATGGCATGGAGAGGACCGTCAAAGCAAGTGCCAGTGCATGGAAAGAAGTGACCTCACTTGTTCCGCAATGTTGAAGCGCTTAACGGTGCCAACAGAACACTGAGCTGCCTGGTCTTCTGAGGCAGGGCTGCCAGTGTTGAGGGAATTTGTTAATACTGGTCTGTCGAGGGTGCTGCTGAGCACAAAAAGGTACTATGCTGATGTATTGTTGAGCGCATGGCGGCGGCGTAGCGTCCTGGAAAGAGTGGCCCAAAGTCAGACTTCCCAGCCACTTTTAACAAAGTGGAGGCCTCATGGCCACCAAGCCAGCCACTTAGACGATTCCTCAAAGCAACTCAGAGCAGGATATGTTGCCCACTCTGAGGGTCAGTGTGACCACAGTGGCTCCTGATGCCCCTTCTACACCCCCAGCAGGACTGCTCGCGTGCTCTTGAAGCAAGTGCCCCTCAAATGTATTTTGGAGAAGGTGCTTGCTGGAAATGTTTCTGCACCTTCCAATGTGCAGCTCCAAAGGGACGCTTCAAGCGTGAGCCTCGTGGCTGGACTATGGGATCCTCTGCGCGGCAGGTGACAAGCGTCTGCTTCTAACTGCACTGGGCAAACTTTGGCTTCAAGTTGCCTTAGGGTGAACGTTTCCAGACTACTCTTTTGACACTGGATTTGGCGCGTGTTCTGCATCTAAGCCATTTCGATGCAGGTGTGCA